GGCCCCTTAAAATTTCTGCGGAATTTTCTAGTTATCTCCACTATCATACACCTGTTGGTAAGTTATTCACCCTGCAGAAAAATGATTTCTATTGCAGCTAAATTTGATAATTCAGTCACAATGTATATAGATTAACACTCTACAAGATCGTACTTGAGCACAAATGTTACTTACTCATCACTGAGGCTCATCTGTGACTGGAAAGGACTGACATCCTGGCTGCAGCCCACACTGCAACTCTCATCACAGCACAGAGAGGGGTTCAGGTGTACTGGACCTACACAGGACACACACACACACACACACACACACACACACACACACAAATACAATATAAATTTCAAGACTGTCATCTGTACTGTTCATCTTTAGGTGAATTGCTCACCAACAAAATTAACAAAACTATCACTGGATTTTTTACAGACTTCATCAATTGAACCTAAACGCACCACAGTGGTGTCCGGAGTCCAGGTGACACTGGCAGCAGGTTCTGTGGGGGAAGTCGTGGAGCCAGCGGGCGTCCAGACAGGAGAGCTCCGCCCCGCTGTAGGGACAGTCCTGAGACCTCAGAGAGGAAGCTGAAAGAAAAGAAAAGCAACAACACGGTGATCCTCCATGGCGCAAGAAACGAGCTGCAGACCTCTCAAATTGTTCAGCAAAAACCCATATTTGCAAATAGACTTTAGGCATAAAAAATACAACTAACTAATCTGTAAGACATCAATAAATGTGAAGTTATTGCCTAATCAATTTGTCCCAGCCTCTAAATCTGTAATCATTCTCTCCACAGGACAAAGTTGTAGCATAATCAGATATAACTGACAGGCCTAACCAGCATCACGTTAATGAGGTTCATAATAACTCCTTAGTATAATTTGAAAGTACAACAGTTTGCATGTTGTGCCAGCTCTGGTGAAGGGCGTTGTGCATATTTTAATGGAGGGAAATTACCGACAAAAACATTAAAGAAAGGGACTTTTTTGTAAAGAAGTAAAAAAAAAAAAAAAAAAAAAAAAAAAACACCTCGATACCTTCTGCTACAACTCTTTGTTCCTGACATGCTCAAAGGGGACACATGATGTCATTAATTTGTCGCCCGGGGATATTTCACAGGCTTAATCACTTCTAGCCTCACGAATGCAGCTTATTAAACAAGTTCCCACAAATATGCAGCGTCGTTTAATAAAGCTTAGTTCAGCACCCGGTTTGGGAAGTTAACAAAGGAGAAATGAAGTCAAGTTCAGACAGCAGTGAAGCCTCATTTCAAGGCCTTAGCAACTCTTTTTTTTTTTCAAACACATTAATCTGCCAACTTAATATCTCTGAAGTCAGGATAATAATTTAAAGGCAGGCTTTAGAATGCATATGGGCTTTTTTATAATTTAAAAAAAATAAATAAATAAAAACATCTTCACAAAATTATCTTGCACTGAAATGTCACTGTTGTAACAGACCCTCAAAGATTTCACAGAATATCCAAAAGTGATGAAATCATGAAAACTCCATGAAAAAGTGAGATTTAGGGCCTTGTACAAACTCAGCTGGGTCATTATCAAAATAAATATCTCTACAACTTTGTTGAAAAAAATACTATCGTGCACACTGGAACAGTTTCAGAAACATTTTCACTCACATAAACACGCACAGTTCCAGACCTCAATGTTCTCTTAAACAAAAAACGCATAAGGAGCAGCGCAAAGCTAAAACCGGTGTCAGCTGATTGGATTGCTTCAAAACAAACAACTTCCTACTAGGAATTAAAGAAAGCGCCTGAAGGTTAATTTGTGTTGATAGATATATAGGTTGAGCTACTTTAAATTGTTTATTAGAATATAAAGTTAATAAAATACATGACTAAGTCATTTGGGAATCATGTCAATCTCAGTTTCCCCATGTAAGTACAGAGATTTCCCCAAACCCTCTTTGGTCAGAAGTTTGATATATAACCATTTTTAGTGATATTAAACTGAGTTTTTGTGTGGATTAAAGGACAAAATACATAAAATGCGTTTGTTTTCTCTGCTATATGTGGAGCTCCACAAGTCTCAGTTTTATGTTCGAATCCTTTTGAAGTTTTAATTCATGATAATGACCTTCAGAAACCTAAAGATGACCTCCAAAATTGCACAGTGATTAGCTCTATCTTGATAATGTACTTGTTTTAACAAGAACCAAACAATATTCTCTTTCCGTCTTGCAGAGACCTGAAGACTCGCTTTTATTGCTTGTGGATTAAATTCCTCTGCTTCTACAAAATTAGGTTGCACAAATGACGAAAAGGATCTAAAAAAAAAAAAAAAAAAATTACTCCAATTCTGGTGTGTCTGTGTTGTCATCCTGCACTTTTCAGTAAAAGACTAAGTCTTGTGCATCTTTACCAGCCATTCATTTTATCAAAGCCACACTCATAAAGAAGGGATTAATAAGAAAGCATCAAAATATTTCTTCGAGAAATAAAGAAATTGCAGCACACAGCATGAGGGCATCCTTACTGACCGCTGGGCTTCTTCTCCAGCAGCTGCCTCTTGCAGTAGATGACGCACAGAACCAGCAGCGCCAGCAGGACCGTCGCCAGAGCGCTGCAGATGACTGCGGCCAGCGCCACGTCACGAGGACTCGTCACCACGGAGGGCAGAGGCACCAGGTTCACACGCCCACTACCTGCGGAGGAGACCACACAGGGAATGAGAGCAGAGGAGTAACACGCCGCTTTACTTAAAATGGAAGAAACGTCCTTGACAAATACAGCAGAGGGCCATAATGCGAGCCTCCCCAGGTGATGTGGAAGCAGGAGATTAGTTGTCTCTTTGTTCTTTAGGTCAGCTGCCTTTTTGCTAAAGCCTAATGAAAAAAGCAGAGGAGTTCAAAGACAAAACGCCTGTGGTGGATTCCCTCTTTAACTGCCTCTGTCTTGTTCTGAGCAGAGGATGATTTACACACATTGCTCTCCACCTACCTCCCCTCTCGCACTTCGACAGGCACACAAGCTAGGAGGGCTTTTAAAAACCCCCTCAAGTTTCTTTATGTATGGAATGAAATTAGAAAACACAGTCCATCTAAGCGTCTGCGTTGTGCTGATTTCATAAAGAGGCTCCATTACGTCTCTCATCCCACCTGAGGGGAGAAACAATGTCTGCATTGGCTCCTGCCATCGGGACCCTTAACACACAGTCATATGAAGCCTTGAAGAATGCAGCTCATTTTACATGTTCGCACAGCTACGGAGCGTCAGGGCTTAATGCGGCTTAAGGCTAAACATCACAACAGAAAAACGTGAAGCAGTTTTTTAAAAGACAAAAATTGCTTCTGCTATACGTGTAATCATCCTTTAACCAAATGAAATTCTCCACGCGGTTGCAGCGGGCGACTCGTTTCTGGATTTTTCTAAATGTTTTCAGAGACTGTTGTTAGTTTAAACAAAGATCACAGAGCGCCACATCACAAGAACTTATTCAGAGTCAGGTTTCACCATTAACTCTTTTTTTTTGGGGGTTTTCACTTGAAAGTGCAGAGATTTAAGCAAACGCAAAATAAAGGCAGAGAGCAAAGGATCACCAAAACACTCTGCAGCTGTGTTTTGAAGAATCAGGTGATAATTATCGGTGGGGAGATCATTATGTGCAACTCTTTTCACGTTTCAAACAATTATATTATCTGTAGTGAAAGGAAAAACTGAGTTTATTAACCTGTGCTGTGTGTCGTGTTTGCTTTTTTTTAGTTTTGAGATGCCAATTCATCTGTGAGATCAATTTACAATTGGACCAACACTGATATTTCTTTCTCACATGCTGTTTTTATTTTAATTATGTAAAGCACTTTGAAATGCCTTGCTGCTGAAATGTGCTATACAAATAAAATTTGATTTGATTGATTGATATCAGATAGGATACATTGTCAAAAAACACAATTTATTATTTATGATTCTACCACTGGTGAAAGATCCAAGTAATCTGAAGCCTGAAATTTTGGTGGAAATTACTTCTGTAAGATCAAGAATGAAAAACAACTATGCTACACATTTTTTTTTTAATTGGCATCTGTGGCCCTTTGTATTATTTAAAACCCCAAGCTGATGACTGATGAAACTTTTTTTTAATCACGATTATTTACAAAGATGTATGAGAGCAACCTTCAGAAAACTATTTTTTAAGAAAGAAATCTACAAAACAACAGCTAGCGTGCTATAACCATAGAGCCATATTGTCAGGTATTTATTTGTCTTGTAATTTGCTGCTAGCATTGTTGCTCAGTTAGCTTTGGTTTAGCCTAAATCTTTGTAGAAACTGACAGATTTTGTGTAGAAGAGGAAAGTTAAGGATGGGGAGATTTGCATGGCATGATGTAGTTTAATTAAACTAATCCATTACCCATAATAGCAATATTTACCACATAGAAAAACTAAAAAAAAAAAAACTTTCTTTCCTTATTATCAACCATTATTAGAGAAAGCCTGAGGGCTAAAGACGACACAGAGAAAATTCGAAGCCTTTTAGTCTCGCTGGCACACCCTTCACTTATCAGTCAGTTTATAAGTATTCCAAATTTGCGCATAATTTCAAAGCCCTTCCACTCTGATTGTTGTTTTGTCAAAGAGAGGCAGTAGCAGCCTAAACTCTCAAGGCCATGAACAAATAGCTCCACACAATTAACTCTGATCTGCCAGAGAAATCACACACACAGTCTCCGCCGGTCTGTGTGCGTATGACATTTAGGGTGTGGGTTAATACAGAGCAAACAGCGACAGGGAGCGTACAGTGACGTGAAGCAGATCGAGCGGTTACCAATGAGAATGGCAGCCAGAATGAGTGAGCTCTTGTTTGAGGAGATCATTTTTTTCTAGTCGACTCCGCTATTTGTTTTTCAGTATATTAATCATAAAGGCGACCGGTATCAGCCTTTTCACGTTCAAGAGCTCTTTGTTTTGCAGTGTAAACATTGCTATAGAGCTGGCCAGCTTTTTTTTTCTTCTTTTCTTTCTTTTTTCCTCCTCTTTCAGACAGATAGGGGATGAGGGTATTTTAACATTCCTTCAGATGGGAAAATATGATGAAACACCAAAAGCAGCGTTTCAAATCTCCCGGGAAGGGATAGCACAGGATCGGCTCGATGTAAACAAGAGAACGTACACGATGTCGGAGTTATGGAACATTCCAGAGGCATCGTGGCACAGTTTAAGCCATGCTGGTTTATATAAGTTCCTGTTTATACAGGCATGTTTGTATTGAAAGGCTTTAGCTGCAGTGAAGCTGATAACTCCTTGTTTACTCTCAAACCTCCTGGTCAAACTGAAGAATAAAATACAAACTACTGAGGCAGCATTCAATCACAGAAAACCAGCTCAAAAATTCCTTTAGCCTAAAGTAGTAAAATCCAGGATCTAAACCATCATCCTACAGCTGAGTGTCGTTTCCAACTGTGTTAGTGTTGGGTTTTTTATAGACTCTTAACCAGCCCAGGGTATCTGTGTGGTGTCTGACATCTGACCATGGTGTTTAAACTTGGGTCTTCATTGTGAAGGTCAGATCCAGCTCATCCGAGGTGAGCATCAACACAAAGGCGGCCTGTTATCGGAGCGCCGGCAGCTGCAGCGCACACAGATAAACACTGCTCCATTGAACAGACCTCACCTGCTGATATTATCTCCACACAAACCAGACCAATAAACCGCAGCCTTTCACAGACGCACTCACTTTGTGGAATGGCACTTATAGTCCAAATAAAAGCAGCACTTCTTTGCACCTTAAAGGGCTCTTTGACTTACGTCTGTATGAATGCGTCTGAGGTCTTTCTTTAATGGGGCCGTAGCGATCTTTACCCTGATCGCTGAATAGGAGAGAGGAATGCATTTTCTCTGCTGCAGACATGAGCTGTCATTTATACATAAACGTTAGAGATATTCGATTCATGTCTTTCAGTACAGTGGAGAAAATGTAATTTACTAAATCTGACATGGCGTGTTAAACAACATCTGGAATCACAGCTTTAAAATAACAACAACTCAGTCATACAGTATGTTTTAAAGGAGTAACGCAGCAGGGCCCCTCTCCCACCTGTTGCTGAACCCTGCTGTCAGATTGGCTGACACAAAACTAATAAACTTTTCCCTGTTAGACGGGATGAGATTCTCGCAGTGTCATAATCTTGTGTACAAATACAATAAAAATGTTTGGTGTGATCTTTGTTTCTTTTAAAAGAACAGAAGCAATTAGTCGTACTGCTGCTAAAATAATCCAACATGAAGGTTAATAAAGGTACAATAATGTTATGCTCATCAGCTCTTGTGGTTATTTTATTTTGGAACAAAAATTTAGCCAAAAATCTATATTTTTGTGCTTCTGTCACTAGACAGAAGCACAAGTAAAGCACGTTAGTTGTTCAGAGTGTCTCCTCGGTTATAGCATCTCCTTATTAAATTATGTTGTGCTGTACGTCTGAACTGCTTTGGTGCAAAATGAATTCCCCCTATCGGGAGAAATAAGGAACTACACTGGATTATAACACGGTTACTGTATGAAGAGCTGAATGGCTAAAAGTTTATTCAGTATTTGTTTATTCTTTATTTTAAATTAAGTCTATGCATCAAAATAACAACAAAAAAATGATACAGTGATTATCATTTTAACCAATATATCATGTTAATGAAAGCACAGCATCCTGAAACTGCCGCATTTTTACAGATTATTACCTTGAAAACAATTTTTTTCTAACTACTTTTAATAATTTATAGCCACAAAAATTACGACGAGAAAGCCTGACCCTGTTCATGAGTGAACTGAACTTTAGTGATAACTAAACTGTGTTGCATCTTAAACTTTGCTGTGGTTTTCACTCATATTTATGTCACCGTTTCCGTCGACCTTCAGGCTTTGTGGATTATTTGATTGTCGTAATTAAGGCTTTAATTAATGCATTTCCTGTATTGACTTGATCTGGTGACATAACGCTTGACGGCAACAGAAGCACTTCCCCTTCAGCTCAGATTGAACCTTCGTGTCAGAGCTGACTCGATTTGTGTGCATGTAACCACCTCTTCTCGGCAACACCAAGCATGATTATTGCTGTAAGGTGCCGCTTTGACAGTTCGCATATAGCTTGAGTAAGACAGGAGGCAGGACAAAGTGTTCTGCGATCAGCAGCTATCATGATCCCACACGCCTGCATCGCAGTGGCTTCAATGAGTGTGAGTTTAAATACTGGAACTGCTGCTTTAAGCTGCTGGAAGGCTGGAGGCTTTCCTTTTTTATTCTGGGAAATGAGATTCATAAATTAAATACTGGAGGATTTTTAACAAGTGTTTTAACTACATTTTGGGACCTCATGACATCTGAGAAGTCCAATTTTAATATGTGGACTATATATGGAGGCAAGGTCTTGAAATGTCTGAAAAAGCATTAAAATAGTTTTCGGGTCTGAATATCTTCAGGAAAAAATTTGCAATTTAAATAGTATTAATTTCCAGACTTTCTTTCTTATTTAATAATGTAGAATAAACAAGTAAATCTACAAACACATTGTTTTGTTTTTTTTGTTTAGAGTTTTATGTCTGAGTGAAATTTATTTACCACATCGCAACTTGAATTTTTAAATGTATTAGAAGTTTCAAGCTGTGTTTTACAGAATCTGTATATTCCATAAGATGATTCAGTCCAGATTGGAAAAAAATTAAACAGAATTGACCTGCATTAGTCCTGGAGGCAAAGAAGTACAAAAAAAAAAAACACAACTCTGTGAAATACTCTTCTACTCATCTTGAACTAGAAGCTAAAATGAAGAGTGTTTAACAAAGGTGGAGTGATGAGGCCTGATCTGCCACTTTAAATTTTTATATTTTAAAGACAAAAAGACATAAGAAGCTAAATATACAGCTGGTTCCCTGATGGAGTCGGTGGTTTTGAATCCAAAAGAAACTAAAGGAATTACTGTATCATACCTCCATGAGAGTCATACATCAGCTATGATGTGTTTATAGACTGGAAATGGAGGGAAATCTTAGTTTTGGTAACAAACTACAGCCAATCGAAGTAGTTGGTTCCTGTCTCTGTCTGAATAATCGGTGCAATGTTAAAAAGTATTCTATGCAAGTAAATGATGGGTGAAATGTTCATAGTATGTATTAAAAAAACTTGCAAAAAAAAAAGTGAAAGTGTTGATAAGTAGGAATGTTTGAATGTGTAGCATTCAAGATGTATATCATAAAAGGCCAAATTAAGACTTTATCTAATGGGGAACAAAAAGGAGACTTCCACAAGTCGTCTGATTAACTGGCAGCAGCTCAGTAATTAGTTTTACTTGGATAAACAAACAAGCAATTTATCTCATTCTAAGGAATGAAGATTCAGATAAGATCAAACCTTTTTCAACAGATTTTTCATCTTTTTGCTTAAAGGTTGCATTAATTATGCCTAATGGATGGATTTTATCACTTTCGTCTGCGAATAAACTGAAAATCATTTAAAATTCCTGACCTGCTGATTTATGGAGCCCATGGTAATAAAGTTTGTACAGGAAGAAGCTACCAGAGAACACGTACAGGTTCAACTCCACATGGGACGGTGAACTATTTCAGCAGATGAAACGCATTACAGAGGATGAAGAAATCCATAAAACACAACCTCATTTTAACTCTAAAAAGCCACTGGGGGAAGAGAGAGAAAGAAGGAAGGAGGGGTGGGGGAAGAAGATTTACAGTCCACCCCAGACTACAACTGCTTCCCCCTGCACAGCTGCACTGCTGCCCCGGGCCAGGGTGGCCTATTAGAATGATCTGCCCTTTAAGTTTTCACCATCCTCCTCTAGATAACAGCCGTGGACGGGGGTGAGAGGCGGCTGGGGGGTGGGGGTGGCAAGACTTTCAAACATTTGGAAATACTCCACTGAGAGTCCCTGTAGGAGCAAACCACCGGCTATGTTCCCACACACAATGGCCATTTTGTTTCACAGGCCTCCTCCAGTATCAAAACGGGAAGCGGCACAGATGGACAAATGAGCAGACAGAGGGAGGCCTGTTGTCTCAAGGTCAGCGTACACATCCAGGTTTTCTTTTTTCTCTTACCCACATCAATAAAGAGGCGAGATTAAAGGACAACACCAAGAGCAGCCGGTCCAATGACGCCTCCATTCTGCTGTGCAAAGACTGCAAACGTTGTTTAGGCGATAGTTCCCCTCTTCCAAGACTTAAATCGTCAGTAAAAGCTCCCTGCAGGAAGTCACACTCAATTGCCAAAGGTAAGAAGTTCATTTGCTTGTTGGTTTCATTTGCAATCTTGAAATCATACGATTGCTCTTGGCCAGGAGGAAGAAGTTAATAGGATGTGCATCCTAATGGAATATGAGCTGTGTATTGCAACACATTCCCAGTTTCTTTTGTTTAAAGCAGCAAACCCTGAATTGTTGCAATTGGTGTTGAATCAAACAAACATGCAGTATTTTTCCTCAACTGTGTCTTGAAAAGGATATTCACATTAAACCTTTGGACTGTTCAGTCTTAATACAACCAAAAAACATACCAACAAATTGTAGCGCATCGTTGTGAAGTTAAAAAAAAACTTGTACATGGTTTTAAAAATCTGTGAAATGTATGCATTTGCACCTTTCACTAGCAGTGTCTCCAAGTCTCTAAGGTTTGGACATGTAAGCCTGTGCAAAATGTTTCTACCATGTTCTCCCTGAAATGTCTGCTGTGGTCCTGAATCTTCATGATGCTGTTCAAACTGAAATGTAATTACTTGTGTTCTTTGTTTACTGCCTGGGTCATTTCCAAAGGTAGTTGGATTGTATTTGGTGGTATCAGATAATGTGAGGTAAAGACAAATCCACGCTTTTCAGATTGTTATTTGCGAAAACCTTTTGCCTTTTTCCTTACACTGCGTGTTACTTTGAAATTTGTAGCTCTAATGTTACAGAAAGATTAAGGGAAGTGAATACTTTAGTAAAATGTTCTGTTCAGGGACATTTTCTCATTTAGCCCAAACTGAGCACTGAAAATGAGTGGCATGTTCTATAACCCAATATAATCCCGTGCTGGCAAATCTTAGGTAGCCATTGCAGGATCCATTTCAGCTCTTCAACTTCCCAGCTTTGAAATCCCAGCATTTATTTATCTTCGTAACATAGCTGGCTGCCTTGGTTGGACTTAGTGAGTCAAACACAGCTCGCTCCACCCTTAGAAAGTTGTGGTTCTGGTTACTCTTGAGGACTTTGTGCTGGCATGTCGAGTGTGTGTTTGTGTTGGCTTTGTTGTGGCACTGGGTTTTTGGTTCCACTCGCATTTGGCAAGAAGTTCAAATGATTGTGTGTTTGTGATGGTGGTGTTTGCTTTCTGACTTTTGTATCTCTGTTGTTTCATGTTCGAACATCTCCTGCTGCGGATTGGGGAGTCTGTTTTCTGGGAGCATTTCAGGCCAACCGTTAGGAGCGGTCAAATGATTCAAAAGTGCTTACAATTGGGCTCGTATGGAGGCGGAGGGTCCCCACAAGGTATGCACTCCATGTCCTGGAATCCACTTAATTTTGTTTTCCTATAAAATCTGTAGCAGACACAAGGTTACATGTTTAGTAAACAAAACAAGCATTTATTTTCTACTATAAAATTAGACAGATTGGTGTTTGAGTGCTCTCTCACCCCGGCAGACAGTCGCCACACACGGCGTTGCTGGTGGTGGAGCAGTTGCCCTTCTGGAAGCGGTTGATGAGGCCACAGTCCAGACAGGGTTTGCACTTCTGCAGGCTCCGGTCCTCTTTGAAGCGGCTGCTCCGACAAGGCACGCACCGGGCATCCTCTCCATAACCAAAGCCACATTCCTGGGGGGATTAAAAGAGAAAAATACACTGAGTAAGAGGCGGCGGGGTTGTGGGGGGGGGAGTTGGTTGATTTGGGTTGATGTGCAGATGGTGAAAGGGGGAGTTTGAATGTGAACTGCTGGGGGTCCTGAAATTAAAGAATGATCTTAGCCCACTGGGTTAGAGGGTAACAATGGCCTGCCTCTTTTGAGAGTCTATCTTACACAGCCAATAATCTCCCTGACTCTCTCGGTATGAATGAGTCGCCTTCCGCTGCAAGACCCAGAGGGGCCGTGCATTTGAATAATAAAGCCGTTGGGGGACACCCACTGTTGTATTATCGCAGGTTTATTGCTGTGTTTTTTAAACTAGTCCCACTCCAAGCTGACTCAGTGAGGGCCCCGTTGATTGAGAGGCTGGCTAGCTTAAAGGAAACGCTTCAGGAAGAGCGCAGGGATTATAAAGAAGTAGATGGAGGGAAAAGCATATGAATACTTGTTTTGTGCTCCACCATTAAAGGTGCGTTTATAAAGGCCAGCTTCTCTTGCACGTGTGAGCGATCTAATGCGAAACACTCCTCTGCATTAGTTCGTTTCAGCAAATATTTCATGCACCCTACTGCCTAGTGCGCTTCTCATTTCAGTCTCTTTCGAGTAAAGCTTCACAGTAATGTCCTACAGTTTGAACTGTAGTCTGAAATATCCTAATGACTTCTTAATAAAAGTGGTTTAAGGTCATGGTTATGTCTTTATTTTAAGTAATGCTAGCGTGATCTGCTTAATAATTTGGAAAAACAAACCATTAATATGACGTTTAGCAAAATGCTAAACATTTTCTGCTATGAAGTTTGGACAGTCACTCTGTTTAGAAAAATACAATGAACCACCTTAGACTAAGTCACTTCATCCTCCAAAAAGTCTTATGTGGATATTTTAATGGACAAGAACTTAAGAGAAATAGGTTTGGTTAATCAGAATTATTAATGCGTTTATGTTTATGTCAGTCTTTGACATTCATGTTGCAACTCACTCAATTTTATAAAGTTTATTGCGGTCGATTCCTTCCTGAGCTTTTATTGTGGTGTGAGACATCAACATCTTCACTGGCACATATTTAGCCCCCCCTTTATAAATGTCCACATCCCCCTCAGCCCCAAACCTGAATCCTGAAGAAACCCTCTATGTTGTGAGCTAAAAACAAAAGTGGGTAATAATACCCAAGAGTCTAGATAGATTATGCCAAAACAAAAGGGCAAAGATTTTGTGGTATAGATTTACCAGGGTCTCACTTTCTCAGACCTATAAAGATAAAATTACAATCTGGCCACTGTGCATCTCTCTTCCCAGATATCCATATCTCTGAAGCTCATGGTGACCTTGACAACAGCTAGACATTTGGATGACAGCTGATATTACTGTACACCGCACAGAATGAAAATACCCTGCAGAAATGACATCATACATTGTTCATTCATTATCGGCTCTGTGGCAGCTGAACTCCTGTGATCCAGGATCCCCACATTGCTCTCCAGATCCTGGAGGACAGGCATATATCATTAAAGTGAAGGTCAACTTCAAAAAAGAACTTCTCTCCTCGCCCGTGTCCCGTTTCACTGGCCTGGCATGCACTCCGGCTGGAATGTGGGCAGAAGACTTTGATACAGTGGGGGTTGGGTTTAGGGGAAATAAAAATGGAGGTCGGAGGCAAAAATGTGATCTTGCTCGCGCACAGAGAGGGAGGATTAGAAAGACGGCCCTTCCAGCCAAACACATGTGAGCCTGACATTGAAACCTTGAGCCGTGCTTGGCCAGGTGGCCCAGATTGGATCGGCCTATTGCAGCTGTTCCTCTGCGCTCTCCATAAAAGGCCGTACAATGCAGCAGGGCAGAGGAGGGCACCGAGGAACGAAGAGAGGGATGGCTTATGCAGTAGGGGAAAAGACAAATGAATAAGACTCATCTTTGCATGTCATAATCTTTGGTTTTGTCAAGACACTTGATTGAAAATGGACTTGCAGAGGAGTGATTGCGGGATAGGGCCTGGTGACCTGTTTCCACATGAAGGAATGGGGCCTCAGGATGATTCAATCCAACCAGGCCCAGCATTGGCACAAGTACTGTTCATGGGGCACCACATGTCAGGATGGGCCGGTGCTGCGTAGACACAAGCAGGTCAGAGCACCGAAACAAAGGGGAACAAAGCCAAGTCCTGCTCCTCATGTGCAGACCAGATAGGTTACTAAGGAGCAACGTCATCTTTCTTTTATAACAGGAAACAAGACACAACAGAGCTGACACAGGGACAGGAGAGGCTCACAATATGTTTACTTCGGTAAAAACAGTTTCCTTATATCAATCTATTTTCATAGACTGGAAAAATATGTAATTACTTCTGTTTTTGTTTTTAGACCATAATTTGTGTAAGAAGTGTAACTTCTCCTGTTTTTAGGCTTTGTTTAACATAACCTATAAAGCTAGACTCTATTAGTTAGTCAGGCTATCTGCTCAGGTGGCTAGTCTGCTAGCTTTACAGACATGCTGCTCATAGGATGCCAGCTATAGTTTTAAACAACATTAACTAAATAAAAGTTATGACTTTATGCTTCTTTTGACTGGAAGTGAATCAGAACTCTTAAATTCGTCTCTCTGGAGCTGTAAAGTGTAGGTGTCATTTTTCAGCCAGCTGACTGGTAGTGCGTGGCCAAAGGGAAGGTAGGGGCAACATCACATTACTCCATGCTCTAAAAACCCTGAAAGTGTAACTTCATGAAACCTTGGTGTTTCTTGATAGCAGTTACCGGCCCACGAAAATATCAGATTGAAGGTCAGCACAACAAATACTAACGACAGTTATATGTAAACATAAAATGTAAAAGGAATTTATAACTGTGGCAAACATTAGCTACTTTAAGCAGCTTGAATTTCCAAAATGTTATCAGACTCACAGCTAACCAAAGGCTTGGAGGTAGAATGGTAAACCTTCATGGTCTCCGTCCCGTATCAGAAGGTGTAGATGGCGTCAGCATAAACAAAATAGCAGCATAACAGCTTGAAGGTCCTAAACTACATTATTTTGAGAAAGTAACTTTGTTTTGGCCAAATCATCAGCTGAACCAGATAGGAGAGGACAGATCTTCTGGTGAGTAAAGGCCAAAATTCAAAAAACAAAGAAACATGTTTGTTAACTGTAATGGTCTCTTTAAAGTACACAATCTGAAAAGAAAAATGGCACTTTAAAATAAATCTACAGACAATGTATCAAATTATGTATCCACCAATTCTACACACACAGATAGAAACTACTTAGAAATGGCTTTACATGCCCTCAGAAACCATGAAAACAAAATAAAATAAGCAGATGCTCGACATCACGTTCGCCTGCATGTCCTATCTCCTGATCTTGTTTGGCTGAGACTGCCAAGCATAACAGCCGTGTGGAGGGGAGAGAGGGGCCGAGCTGGCTGGGTCCTGATGCGTGTTCAGACGCACAGATATTTCTGAGATTAAGAGGGAATCACGGTAGGAGAGGGGAGGGGGGTGGCTGGTCATATGATCCTGTGATGAAACAAGTCTGAAAACACTGCCAAGTCCGTCGGAGCAAAGTTCTGTTTAGCTCATAACACAATGAAACCTTTTTTGTTTAGAAAGACTCTGAAAACTTCTTCAGATGTAAAAATTCTGCACCAAATGGACAACTTTTCTGCTGCTTGACAAAAATGAATATTTGCGAAGGCTTTTCAGCCAGCAGCACTCAGCGGTTCGTTGTCTTGGGATTGCTGTTGTAGGAAAAATGGCCATCTTTCTATGCTACATATTGATGTCACATCAAAAAAAAAACATGTTCCTGACATTTCTTTGTTGTTATTTTTTGCCACTGGCATTTTTCTAGAATGCACTGGAAGGCCGGCAAGCCTTTCTTCTTCCAAAACCGACAGAGTAACAGGCTCTGAATGAAAGCTGGAATGAAATATGTCAGGGAGAGAAAGAGTAAGTAGTCATAATGGACTATGTGTGGGTGGCTCCTCGAGCAACAGTTAGCGCGGCGGTGCTAATTGATGTTTGTCAGAGCAGCTTCCAGAGGCAAACGTCCAGAGCAAACTGGGCCACATTCCTCTGAAATCTCTATAGCAGCTGCACAGAGGGACTCCAGAAGTCCGCTTCCTTCCCCACCGGGTCAAACCCCCATCGCTTTTAGGGCTACTCAGATCTCTGATCACAAGCTTTTCTAACGCTGGGAGTCTTTCCCCCGGTCCCAGGCTCTGGTCTTCTCTTTGAGCCAGCATCCCGCTACCTTCAGAGAAAGAGTGAAGCGGCCAATTATTAACCAGGACCCCAGGGTGGCGGGCAGCACTCACGCCTGCTGAGCAGGCAGAGAAACTGGAGGATCACTGAAGCATGTTACTGAGCACACAGTGCATGTTTGTGTGCTTGCAGATTAAAGGCGACAGGGCTGAAATGTGTTCAACAGATGTAAAGCTGAGGGTAGAGAGTGTTTTCATCTTTCATTTTCCTGCTGCTAAAGTATTTTTGTTAGAAACATCTGCCTAGTATCCAACCACACACCAAGGCTGCAGATCATAAAGTAATACAAACTTCTGATGCCCATTTTATCTCTGTGTGTTTGAGTTCATTTTAGAGTCATTTTAGAGCTACCTGCAGTAGCTGGTATCAGAAACAACTTCTTTAGAATATCACAACCAAAGAAGGTCCTCAGCTAAGGTTTGGAAATATATTTTGCTAAAAAGTCTATTTCATCTTTTCTTTATATAAATTTATATATTTGGCACTAGTCAAAAGTGACTTGCACCATTTGCTTCATTACTATTCCCATAATTCAATCCATTTTATCTGAATTTTATGACATAGCCTGACACAAGTAGCTTCTAAAGGTAACGTTGAAGGAGAGCATTTTTTTTTCCCTTTGCTTTTTTGGAAATTTTACAACTAAAATCTGAAAAGTGTGTAGTGCATTTTTTGCAGTCCCTCAGAGTACAATGATCTTTCACTGGAATTACAGCTGTGAGGTTTTTAAAGCATGTCTCACCAGCTTTGAACATCTAGAAACTAAATATTATATCTATTTATTTTCAAAGCAGATCTCTGTCAGACTGCATAGAGAACTTGAACTTTCCAGTTTTGTCAAATCGGATGCTTGTTTCTGGTTGCTTTCCTGCGTAAAGGTAAACCTCAGTCTCAAATCTTTTTACAGACTGCTAGGTTTTTCTTCCACTGCTTTTGTATTAAATTTTATCAACATTTCTGACCAGATTCCTAACCTCTGATGAAGAAAAGCATCCCAATAGCATGATTATGCCACCACCATGTTTCAAGATGGGTTTATAATAACTGTCATAAGACAATTGCGCAGATTAAATAACACACAGGTAGATTCTATTTCCGAACAAGTTGCCTTCAGAAATCAGATGAACTTGATTTTGTAAGGGGTATCAGAGTAAAGGGGGCATTATGCAGCAGAATGCCATACTTGTCAGGTATTCGTTTAATAAAAATTAAAAGCAGGGTCCCTTTTCTACCATTTACTAATTGTGCACTAGTTTTTGTTGGTCTAACCCATAAGATTCATTGCCACCTGTGGATATAATGTGACAAAAACATTTGAGGGGTATCTAGATTATTCTATGTCCTGTTTATTTGGCTTCCCATCACTGCCTCCACTTGCCAGGTTGGGTTAGGTGCTGTAATCGGCGCTGCTAGAGAGGAAAAGGGCTTTTTGCTCACCAGTCCTAACTGACACTACAGAGGCCTGTTTGTACAAAGCTCACAGAAAGCTACGGCTCAGGGGGTGGAAAAGACTCTATTCCCTGTTGAGAGAGCTGCAAGCTTAGGCATGGCTTGCTTCAGAGGGTGAAGACAATGAGTTGGACCGGGCGCGATGGGGAAAGACAATGGAAGCCATTCAGCTGGAGGAGGTCAAAAGCATGGGTGTGACTGATTAAAGAAGGGCCGTCATCGTTGGACAGAAGTTAATAACGGTTTGGCTGCTCTCTGGATGAAAGGGAGGAAGCAATAAATGTGATGTGAAACACTTTTCTCAAAGTCCTTGTGATCGATTCCAAAGACATATCTTACATTTGGACACAGAGTGCTGGGTAAATCTGTCTAACAGAATAGACGATTAAAAGAAAAAAAAAATGTATTTCAAAACAGTTGTGCTCCAACCTTAGAAAGCTCCTGTCCTGCATCGCACTGTTTGCAGGGTTTGCAGTTCCCGAAGCGGTCCTTGTACTCCTGCTCTCTGCACTCTCTGCTCCCCTCCATGGCTCCCACGCTGATCTGAAGGGAAACAGACATTTGGTGAAAGTTAAAGATTCCTGCGTTTCATCACCACTTCTGTCCGTGGCAGATAAAGACAACCCCTTCCACAGCAACGCATCGCTTTGTGTCATGATACTTTAAGTCATTGCTAAGTCTAAGTCATTGCTGTGGACTCCTTTTGATAATAATGTCTGGAACAGATGGGATGTGAGGAGATCAAACCTTAATGAGTCCTGTGGGAAACTTTGTAGCTGGCAACAATACAGAGATCACAGAAAAACAGGGAGTCTGGGCGGCAGATATAATCATAAAAGCTCAGTGGATAGGGAAAATATGGCAGCATGAGCTCAGATGGGAACTCTCAGTCTCCTTTTCAACACTGCAGGACACACAGTCAGCATATGCAGTTTATAAAAGATAACATGTTTTAAAAAGTCTTGCACACTGGTTTCTGTCAGAAGTGATTGCAATGGCATGTTTGAGAAGGTTTTAATCACAGTTATGTGTTGCCCCTCCCCACCTGTTGCTGTTGCTACCTGGATGAAGAATAATTCCCGTTTTCCTCATTGACAAGAAAAGCGGTTTTTAGAGACGTTTCCGTGAATTAAAAACATCAGTCATGCCACAGAAGCTAAAGGAGTGCCACCCGAAAACCTGCCGCCCACCACAACCCTCCCACAAATGTTTCTGTGCACTGGTCAGCTGGCTGAAAGGAGGCTACTACACTTTTCCCTCAAAGAAAGACTAATTCTGGTGGTGGAAAACTAACAGAGCGGCTCCAGTCGCTCCTACAGCTACCCGAGAAAATAGCCAAACTAATTGATTTTTGTCAAGATTGATGTCTAATAAACAAAATGCCCATACATACAGTATGTTACAGACAGTATAACAGTGATAATCCATATATACTTTAAATAATGATAATGATAATACAATTAATCACAAATGTATACAAGTAAAAGCGTTCCTACCAAAGCTGAGAAGACGATATGTGCAGCTAGCAGGAGCGACAAGCTGTGTGGAAGCCTCCAAAACATCTTGACGGCCACCTACTGCTTTGAGCTGAAAGCAAGGACACATCAGTCAAATCTTTGTATTCTCCTGTTAAGAAGCAAAGGCATTTTTGTTTGGGACAATATGTTGAGATCAACAAATAACGACTAATATGACGACTTCAATCAAAATATGACTATAAATTTGCTTTCCCCTTTAAAGTGAAATACCACTGTGAGTCCGGGTTGTTCTAAAGTAACTGTGTAGAGTTTGGTGACCAAAAACAAATATGTAACACAGAGTAAGTTGTTGATTTCTTTGATTTAAATTTAAGCATGTGCAGAGAGCATGAACATGACTGGAATCTGGAGGTAAGAACGCTTTCCAAAAAAGAAAGCTGAAATAAAATGTAACATTTATAAAAGTCACATTTCAGAGTGGTATATCTTAAAGGAACACATTTTAAACAACACTGAATCTGTTTATCCTACTTAAACTATCACTTAATAATAAAATAAGAGTAGTTTTCTAAATTATGATGCCTTCTTATTTAGATTTTTTACACCCTGCATAGTGGTGGGGTCACATATTTGGACAAAAAAAAAACAAAAAAAAAAACTGAGCAATTTAGGCAAAATTTGTATAAAACTCTTGGTATTTGTGACACATTTTTAGACAAACTGATGGTAGTTGTTTGACGGGACTTGAGTACAAATACAACAAAAAGAACTGGTCAGGATTTGTTTATTTTGAATAAAGGACATAAAAACAATAAATCCCTTAAGTTCAAGTCACTGAGAAGAAACTGTCATATTATGGGTTTGTTCCTCATATTACAGGTTCAATAGTTTGAACCAGAAGTACAATGAATGCACATGTAAAGCCACCCCTGCATTTTATTTAGTTCAAATATCTTTTTTGAACTAAATAAACTATAATTCACATCTCACCCTGCTTGTTACTGAATGCAACTAATCTAAAATTAATCAACAATTCCTAAATAGCAGCTCAAAAATGTAGCCACCAAGAAAACAAACAAGAGGACTGAATTCAGCGTGATAAACAGTGCAGGTTTGTTATGGTGACTTTTACTGGGATCTGCTAAAATCCAACTCTGTTTCCCGTCAGTGAACGACGCATGAATGTCCCAAGCTGAACTCAGCGCGTTTCTTACCTGATCAAAAAAAGAGCAGGCTGTTGGTTAAAGATCCCAAAAAGTGGACAGCAGACCGGCGAAAGGCGTGTTTCCCGCACCGGTCCGCTCACCATGTCAGCGCCGCAGCTCCTGCACCGCACCGCACCGCACAGCTCTGCTTTGAGCTGCAGCAGCAGCAGCAGCAGCAGCTCAAGCGCAGATCAAAGGCGGGGAGAAGGGGCAGGCTTTATGGATCTGATCTGTGATCAGCCAGCCTACATCAAAGACACGCTTTCACACAGAGAGAGAGAGAGAGACGGAGAGAAATGCGCACACACACGCACGCACAAACATAAACAGGTATTGAATGACCAGAGTCTTCAGCCCGGTGGTTCCCGTATCAGATCGATGACAGCAAATATTAAATTTAATAAATGTTGAGACATTGTGTAACCCACAATTTGTGTCGCTTTTCTCCAGGGGCGTTCCTAGACACAAAGAGAGTCTGGAGCACATGTTCGGAAAATAAATACAATTTTAATATTTCTGGATTTATTTATTTATTTATTTTTTGCAATAATATGAAGGATATACAAATAATAAAAATAAAAATCTTTCACTTAACGGACCCCGATTGAAAGTTTATATGATCTACCTTGTATTGGTCACTGGCAGCTCGTCACATTTTATTATTATTATTATTTTTTTTTTTTTGCAAAATCAAATCCAGTCAATTAAAACTTTGAAAGAGTCCACACCTCTATCAAGCATTCTTTTCTGAGGATCCAGACCATCTGTATAAAGCAAAGTGTAGAACAAGGCACTGATTTTTACCAGCCTTCTGACTGTGGCTTAGATTCGGCAAAACCCCATAATTTACTTTAGAGCTTGAATACTGCTTATTATTAGCATTTGCAATTCATTAGATATAATTCTGATATCTTTTGCCTGTTTTATAAAGTTTGGTTGCCATCACACACATATCCTTTGATAGCTAATTCTTTTGCTTTTTCCATGGCTCTGAATCCACCAACACCCATGTAAGGATAAAACATGCAAATCTGTCAGGAGTCCAAATAACACTTGCACTATGTAGAAAACCACCAATGAATGCGTTACACGCCAAGCTTTAAAGCAGATGGGCCAAAACGGCAGAAGACAATGCTGCTGTCAGCTAAGAACAGGAAAGCAAGGTTACAGTTCACAGAGATTCACCACGATTGGACAATAACAGATTAAAAAACAATATTGCCTGGTTGGATAAATCTTCACTTCAGCTGCAACATTTAAATTCTGAATTTGGCATAAAGACAAAAAGGGCATAGATCTGTTGAACCTAAATTGCACAAATCATTCTGGTGTTATTGTTGGGATGGTGTTAGGGACATTTTTGCATATTTTGGCACCCATTGGACCCCAGCTGAGCATAATTTCATACCCACAGTCTTCCTAAGTATCATATCTGACCACCATCCTTTAATAACCACAGTGTGCCCATATTCTGATGCAATGCTTCCAGCAGGATAATGCACCATGCCCATCTCAAATCATCAAGCTTAATGCTGGTTTCCTGAACATGACCATGAGTTCAACTGCACTTCACTGGCCGCCACAGACACCATTTCTCAATCCACTTGAACTCCTTTGCAGGAGATTCATATCATGGATCTCAGGAGCATTTTCCCAACAACTTGTTAAATCAATAAAAATTAAGGCAATTCCTAAGGCATAAGAGGGTCTAAATTAGAACTACTGTCTGTCACCTAACAAGGTGTTTGATTAGTGTATTGTTTAGTACTGACTGTTTTTAAGCCATTTTAAAGTATTCTTTCCTCTACCAAAGTCCAACAGTCCTTATTACCCTAAAGGTTCCCTGATATCAGAGTTTATTTATGGCTTCAGTGACACAAGAGCAGCCACTAATATCCAAACAGCACAGCAATAAAAAAATAAAAAAAAACGCAAAAGCTTAAACTCACTTCTAGGCAAAAACTTGTGCATACATGCGTGTGCATGCCCCTATGTATGTGTGAGTGTCAACCAAGGCAAAGACACAAAGGACAAAAGTTCAGCCCTGCAGTAAAGTGGCCAATTATACAGTACAAGTCTGGGCATGTCATGGAATACAACAATCCCGGGATCAGAGTATACTCACATGTAAATGTGCTTCAAAAGCATAAGATGGTACATTTTATTTATTTTATGTGAAATACAGGTTGTTATGACTATAATTTGTTTCTGTCTTTAAGTTTTGTGTGAATTGTATACCATGAGTTAATGATTTAATTGAATTGAATCATTAATTTACTTACAGGTAATTACATTAAATAATTCCATTGTGTAGTTTATAAAGAACAATACATATTTTGTTCACTTTTGTACTGAATATGTTGGGGTTAAAGTTATAGAGTGGTGTTTGATGCAGTGACATGAGCCATCTAGCGTTGATAGAGGAGAACTACAATCAAACTTTTTTGACTTGAGTCAGAGAAGGTAACAGCTTTCCTTTTGTCGCCATCTACCTGTGTTGACGTGTAAAAGCAGCCAGGTACCACAGTTTTCGTTCAATATGTTCATATTATCGCAATAAATAAGTTATCAGTGAGAATGCATTACTGCATTCTGCATTCTCACTTATTAAGATCCTGCTCACATTTTTAGGTCGTTAACTACTTCTACTAACTTCAACTAATTGTGCTAAATCATATATCAAAACGTTCAGCTTCTTCTGGAGATTTATGCTATTTTTTTTTTTGTTAAAATTCACTATTGTACTTTTTGAAATAGTTGCCCTTTTGTGCAAATAATTTTGTCCCATTGAAATACATGGTGGAATTCACTAACTGATGTCAATTGCTAAAGTGTCCACTTTAGTAACTGACTATTTTTTAACTTTCCATCCTTTTTGACAAACAAAATTATGCTGTTCATACATATTTAACTGTACAGGAATAATTTATGAATTAAACTGTAGCCACGCATGTCTACTTTAAGGAACTATTACTATCATTGCTACAGGTCTTTCTGTTTTCTGTCAAACTCTTCTGGAGTACAGCCATGTCACACTTTCTCTTATTTTTTCCATGTATTTCTCTCTTGTGCTCTGTTTCTATCTGTGTCAGCATTCTGCTCGTCTACCTTTCTGTATGTCTTCTGCTTTTACTGGTTTTACTGTCTGCAAATGTCTTCTGCACATTTTAATCAATTTTAGCAATTCATATATCAAAATATTCAGCTTTTTGTGGTAATTTGTGCTTTTTTGTTGTGTTTTCTTTTCAAATATATCAGGTTGTATACCAATTCCTGCTTCTGCTAATTTATGCTATTGTTGCTATATTTTACTTTTTCAACTCTTTCAAGTATTTCATGTTTTATACAAATTTCTGCTTCTGTTATGCTTTTTGTTATGTTTCACTATTCACCTGTTTCAGTTTGCATACTAATTTATGCTTCTGCTAATCTATGTCATTTATTTTGCTATGTTTTACTTTTCAAATATTTCAGGTTGAATTCAAAATAATGCTTCTGCTAATTCATGCTATGTCTTTGGCTAAATTTCACTCTTAAGCTAAAGACTTCTACCATGTATGACTTTAGCTTTATCCTGCTTTCCCCCCTTATTTCTTATGCTTTGTTCTGCTGTGTTTTGCGTTTTCTGCAGCTATCATTCTACAACTATGCATTCTCACGGCTGTTTCGCTAGGAACAGCATTTTTTTCTAGTTTGTATTTTTTTTTATTGAATGTCTTGTAAAAAGCAGACTCCTTAAATGTTAATAAGTAATGATAAATAACAAATAAATGCAACTAGCTAATGCTACATGCGTTCCACCAAATTCCAATATTTCTGCTATTTGATCAATAATTGTTTGTTTTTTTTTTAAATCTGTTTTGTTTATTTCCTCATCAATTTGCAGTCTTTAATCTTTTCAAGTAGCTATTAATCAGCCGTGCGCTGGCGTGGCGTGCCCCACCGGAGCTTGAAGCTGTCTCTTTAAGGGACCTGTGAGATA